TGGGGGTGCGGGGGGGGCTAAGCTGGAGAAGAAGAAACTCTTTTTCTTGTGTGCTCTTCTCTGCTGTCATTCACTGGGCTGCTTTCAGCATCCAGCCAATGGAGAGTGAGGGCCTGCAGCAGTAGGCCCTGGGTAGGGTGATTGATGGGCAAGCGGGGCGGTGGACGATCGCACTCGCGCTCCGCCGCGCTCTGCTCCGCTCCGCGGGGCTCCCGGCTCCCCACCGCCCGCCGCGGCGAGGGGTCCCCGGGGCACCCTCGTGTGTGAGTGGCTTGGGTGAGTGGCTCCTGGAGTGAGGTGGTTGTGTCTTAGTGCCTGGCGGCGCTGGGTCTTATCGAAACGGGACCAGTGTGCGTGGGTGGGGATATCGTGTGTCCGCTCCTGGAAGCTGTTGGGTAGTGGGTGTGTGTGGGGTGGCTGTGTCTCCAGTGTGTGGGTCCTGCGCCTCGCTGGGCACGGCTGCCGTGTCCTGGGCTGCGGGGTTGTTTCGCTCTTGTGCCTGGGTTGCGCATGGCTCTGCTGGTGGGTCTTCGTGCTGAGCGTGTGGCTGCCGTGTCCCGGCCGTGCGTGGCTCTGCTGGGGTTTCCTGAGGTGTGCGACCGTCGTGCTATGGGACTGAGCTCGTAGCCGGCGTGTCCCGGCTGTGCGCGGCCCCGTTGCCGGTTTCGGGGCGCTGCGGGGCTGTGCTGCCGTGCCCGGGGCGGAGGTCCGGCTCCCGGGCGGTGGCATGGAGCACCTCGGCGCTCACCACCTGCACCAAGGCCAAGCCGAGCCCATCAGCTTCGGCATCGACCAGATTCTCAACACGTCGGAGCCGGGCAGCTGCATGGTGTCGCACCCGCGGCTGCAGGACTCGGCGGACTACGGGCTGGGCTGCATCGTGGGCAGCGCCTATAACACGGTCACGGGTGGCTACGGGGCGAGCGGCGGCGCGGCCGGCGCCTACAGCGGCACCTCCTGCAGCATGGGCGGCCTGCCCGGCTCCTACAACGTGAACATGGCGGTGAGCATGAACGGCAACACCTTGAGCTCGGCCGGGGGGGTGATCCGCGTCCCGGCCCATCGCCCCGTGGCCGGCGGCGTCCACCAGCCTCTCTCCGCCGCCGTGCCGGCGGTGAACGGCATGAACAGTCTCACTGGTCTCACCTTTCCCTGGATGGAGAGCAACAGACGGTACACAAAAGACAGGTTCACAGGTGAGTCGGGCCACCGGGACACCCCCTTCCCTCCCTGCACCCACCGTTCCGCTCCGTTCCCCGCCGCCCGGCCTCGGCGCGACAGCCGGGGCTCACCGGGGCAC